GTATTAAAACATTAAAGTTAATAAAATATTATGTCGTATTATGTATAAACTCATTTTATTTTACGAGTAAATTGAATGAAGTGATTCAAGATGGCGGTAACGTTACATATAGAAGGAGGTCAGCGGTGCTCGGAGGCTGCGCTTTCGAGTCAGAGGTGACTCAACTGTACACGGAGATAAAAACAAACGTTTAACTTAACACGTTTAATTATTTTATATAACATTGGATGAATGTTGTGGACTTTTGCCTATATATTAGGTACCAAAAAAAAAGTTAAATATCATATTGATATGACATTGGATGAATGTTGTGGACTTGTGCCTATGTATTAGGTATTAAAAAAAAGTTAAATATGTTATAGATATGACATTGGATGTATGTTGTGGACTTTTGCCTATGTTTTAGGTTCAAAAAAAAAGTTAATTATAATATAGATATGACATTGGATGAATGTCTTTGGACTTTTGCCTATATATTATGTACAACAAAAAAAGTTAATTATATTATATATAGGTATATTACTGGATGTATGCTTTGGACTCATGCAGGTGTATTCTAAGAAAAATATAAATTTAAATACAAAATTCATTGCAAATACAATAAATAGGTTGAAAAAATGTGAGGAAGTAATGTCTATTGAAACTTTTATGTCCCTAAAATTATCTGTGCAGAGAATTGTTCCATTAATACCGAACCTTTTTTGGGTATTGTTAAAAATTCTTTGAAATCCAGGTACCTATGATTTATTTGTTACATAATTGTGGAGAAAGTTCTTGGTCCGCCATTTTGACAGTTATCTTTTATAATTTATATGATGTATTTCAAAATTGACAATTCCTATTTCTGGGGTGTCTTATTGATTTCAGATTATACACTTTTTTCTGCGGCAGTTTTGATGTAGGAATAATGGATATTTTTTTTTCGTATATACAGGGTGACTGGTGAATTACTATCAATATTTAAGGAGAATACTCGGTACATGATTCTCATTCGAATTATGTAAAAAAAATAGGTACTTAATTTTTGACAAAATTTCCGTATAAATAAATAAAGTGTGGACACGTTCCAAGTGTTCCAAGTGTGGACGCGTGCGGCGGCGTGCTGATACAACACCACGCCGCCGACGCGTGTGTGTGTGTGTGTGTATGTATACCTAATCTGTAGGGTGGTCACACGATGCATAATTAATTACATAACTTTTGGTTAACTTTACTTAGAAATTTATTAATATTTATGTTATATTAATTTTTATTCTGTCATATATGATCGTCAAATATCACGTCCTCAAGTATCGATAGAAATTCACCAGTCACCCTGTATATTATTTGTATATGAAATTTCTTTTTATTAATATAATTGTTGTCTAGTATTATCTTCGTAGCAAGTCTTTGTATCACATTGCAGAGGATGTGTGTGTAAGAAGATATGTTTATTTTATTAATAAGACGGGTAGATCAAAGTATGAATGAAATTTAATTGATACAATATAAAAACATATTACTTATAGTGAAATAATGTAAGTAATATTTTAAGATTACTACGCGTTTTGCATACTCTCGAAGTTTCGGTTACTTTTCAGCAACCGTAATCTTTAGAATAAACGAAATTATGGTAGTATGTTAAAAATTATTAAATAGGTAATACGAATAGTTCATTAGTTTCATTTAAATGAATACTATAAAGTCTTATATCTTATTATATGAATTAATGTATCGTTTAAAAAATATGTTCTTCTATCTGGCAATTTCCCAGCTTTAGCCAGGGTCTGCTTTACATGTTGTAATTTGGCTAATTCTTTTTACGACCGGACGCCTGACATCAACCCTATTTGGGAATGATTTCAATAATATATACTATACTAGTTTTTGCCCGCGACTTCGTCCGCGTTAATTTCGTCATTAGTAATATATGTACAGCTGACCGGGCGAACTCGTAAATAACCAGGTTTTGCTATTTATTAATTTTTTCCCGTTTTAATCTAATAGAATGATTGACATATTAGTTAGTTGTCAAATCTAATGTCAAAAAAAAACGTTTGTATGGGAAAGAAAAGGGGTGTTTTTTTGGCTTTCCCAGTAATGAATCAATTTTTTTCAGCTTTTATACCTTCCCTGAACCTCCACGAACATTTCAAGACTAAGATAAGATAAATCCGTTCAGCTGTTCTCGAGTTTTAGTGAGACTGACGAACAGCAATCCATTTTTATATATATAGAAGATATTATGTATGTGTGTTTATTTTAACCAAATAAGCATATAGCTACATATATATATATATATATGTTTTATATGATAGTCGACCGGTCTCATCTGTGCCGACCGCTATCTGAGTATCTGCCCACGTCATACTCTCTATTATAGAATCAATATTTATTAGTGATTTTTTTTTAATTATATTATACAACTTTTATTAATTTTAATAATTGTTTATCGCGAGGAAGTGTAATGTCCGTGGCATATATTTTTGAGGGCGATTTTTGAAGAATTTAATTGTATATTTTTTGTAAAAAAAATCGATTTTATTAAGAATAAAAATTGATTTAATAAATAATTCTGTCTGCAGAGAGGAATTGGTTGATATTTTTTTTAATCATATGTTTATTTTTTTTATCTCATATTGTTATTTTGGATAGGCTAATATTTTAGACCATGCTGTATTTTTGGCCCATTGCTTTCAAATGTTTTTTTATGAATTGAATTAAGTTTCTAGAATAGTACTTTAAGGATAATCCTCTAACAATAGTTTGGTGAAAGCTTTTATGATCTTAAGGTTTTGTACGAAAGACAAGAAAAAATGCATACTTAAAAATATATATACATACTTTACTATTATATTATATACTAGCTTTCCGCCCGCAGCTTCGCCCGCGTTGAGTTCGGTTTTATCGCGTTTCCAAAAAAATCTTTCAAAAGTCTGTGATAAAAACTGTCCTATATTCTATCTCAAGGTCAACTCTATCTGTACCGAATTTCATTAAAATCAGTTCAGTGGTTTAAGCGTGAAAGCGTAACAGACAGACAGACAGACAGAGTTACTTTCGCATTTATAATATTAGTATGGATTACAAATTTTAATATTACATACAATAAAGAAATGGAGCATCAAATATAGAATTAATATTAATTAAATAAATCCGTACAGTTTATAATAATTATAATTCCCTTTGAGACTTGTATGAACTAGATGTGAAAAATAGATTCCCTAGTGTCAAGGTTTGCGAGTCAAATTATATTTGACCTCTGTACTTTGACCTTTACCTAGTTTAGAGAAAGCATTACCTTCTAAATGTCAATCCGTATATATATATACAGGGTGACTGGTGAATTACTATCAATATTTAAGGAGAATACTCGGTACATGATTGTCATTCGAATTATGTAAAAAAATAGGTACTTAATTTTTGACCAAATTTCCGTATAAATAAATAAATGTGGACACGTTCCAAGTGTGGACGCGTGCGGCGGCGTGCTGATACAACACCACGCCGCCACACGCGTGTGTGTGTGTGTGTGTATCTAATCTGTAGGGTGTTCACACGATGCGTAATTAATTACATAACTTTTGGTTAACTTTACTTAGAAGTTTATTAATATTTATGTTATATTAATTTTTATTTTGTCATATATGATCGTCAAATATCACGTCCTCAAATATCGATAGTAATTCACCAGTCACCCTGTATATTTGCAAATTATTCTCACATATAAAAGGTAATTGAGAAACTAGTACTTTACTATGTCATCAGCCTATCAGAGCCCACTGCTGGGCAAAGGCCTCTTTCTTACATGGAGAAATACTTCACTAGTAGTTTTTAACTTAAATCTAGTAGTTTTTATTAGACTACAAGTTCATAATATATTGAGATCTAAGATTTTCGCGAGTGTTCATTTAAATGAAACTAATATTTTTCGGATTTACTACGCGCCTTTATTTTTGACTATAAACTACATACTCCCGACGTTTCGGTTACTTTACAGCAACCGTGATCACGGACAGACGAGATGTGAATGTCACAATATATAATTTATAGTAAAAAAAATAATCAAACGCCTAGTAAATCCGAAAATATTAGTTTTATTTAAGTTCATAGTATTGTAATAAGTTAAGTTAAGTTATTGTTATTAAAGGAAAGTCATCGGTAAAAGTTAGTGTTCACATTTCATCGATAGTCAGCCCCCACTATCGTATAGTACGGTGGGCGACTCAGGTTTGGTTTACGAAGTTTAAAATTACGATCCAATATTGATTATTATTTTGGGTTTGCTTTAAGAAAATTCAGTGATAATCGAGTCTAAAAAACAATATAGATATAGTTTTATTGCTTTTTTATATGTTTTATTTATTGAAATAAAATTCGAGTATTATATTTCATTAATAAAAAAATAACATAGAAAAATATTATTCATTCTTTTTCTTTTACGATTTCTTATATCAGACTTACCTATATTGTTTTCACATAATCAAATTCAAATTATTTTGTTTCTTAATTTATAGAACATCTAATTCATCTTTAATGTTTATATTTAAAGAAAACGTTATAAGTTTTTGAGATTAAAATATTAACTGGTTTATGTCGATTTAATTTTGGCTGGGTGTTGTTGTATATATGATAAATAAATTTGCCAAGTTACTGTGTACCAAAAAAAGTCGACGTATACATCTAGTGGATACTCTAATTGACTTTAGTTTACTTTAGAAGAAATGAAATGATAAAAATGTGCTGGAAATGAAAATCAAAAGACAGAATTCTTAGAAAAAATTGTAGAAGAAAAGTTTTCTCGTGTTTAATGTATAGAACATTAACCAATCAAAAATGTATTTTTTTTACGATATTTGTATCTTGTATTTCTGTCTCAGCGTACATATAGGATTTAATTAACAGAGTAAGTATATTATTGTGATAAAATTTTACTGTTTAATTATTTGTGTATTTATTATATAAATATTTATGTTCGTATGTCGCAACTTGCGCGGCGCGGTGTAAGACACTCGTTTGAGATGGACACAGCTGTCATCACAGCTGCGTGGACAGATTGTGCGACTGTTGGAAAAGGATTTACAGCACAGGCGCAGCACAGAGAGCACAGGACACAGAACACAGAGAGCACAGAACACAGAGAGCACAGAACACAGAATATACCTATTATAGTAATAAGACCACGATAAATGATTTCCTATATTTTTTTTATTACCCAAGCCTATAGCACTAAACATTCAACCGAAATCCATTCCTACTAATATTATAAATGCGAAAGTAACTCTGTCTGTCTGTCTGTTACGCTTTCACGCCTAAACCACAGAACTGATTTTAATGTTGGTACAGAGATAGAGTTGACCTTGAAAAAGAACATAGGATAGTTTTTATCCCAGACTTTTGGAAGGTTCTCTTGGAAACGCGATATAACCGAACTCCACGCGGGTGAACCTGCGGGCGGAATGCTAGTACAAAATAAAGTGTAATCGTTTTTAAGAATAAAATGTAATTATATTAATATATTCATAATAAAAAGGTTTTTAATATTTTCGTTCGAGTAGCGGTACTGAATGTACCGAGGGCTGTGACCTGGCTTCACCTGGCTACAATCACGCAGGTGATGACGCTCGTCAAAACTACTGTCAACTGTCAATTTGACAGATGATTTTGGCGGGAACGGTTTGAAAGTAATAGACAATAAAACATTTTCTATTAACACAGAATGAAAGAGCATAATAATATGCTTACTTTTTATGTTCAGTAAGTATTAAAAGATTAAACAAAATTAAATCCAATTAAATATGTAATTATGAAAAAAAATCGTATTATTATATTTTAATAAATTGATACTAAATTAGAAATTATATAAATAATTATGTATTATATATCAAAAATACATACATATTGAAAATAAAGTAACAATATACTTTTAAGGATATATTATGTATATTGTATAAACATGTAGGGCGTAGTTCCGTGCTGGTTTTAGTACAAATCTTTGGTGTGGGTTCAGACATAGCTATGATCGAATCAGAAGTATTTACAACATATATTCATATATATATTAAATATATTTCAAATGTTATAGTAAAATTTTAATATTAATAAAATCATTGTTTTGTATTTTTTTCGTTTAATATATTTTATTGTGTATAATTTAATAAGGTCAATTTATTTTATGATAATATTTAGTTCTAATATAATTATAATAACGAGAGATCAGTATATGAATTAATGTATGAAAATTTATTAAACTTATTTTAATAAAACTTTGCTATAATATAATTCATATATAAGACAAACTAGAGATTTTCACCTAGCGAGGTATGCCGAACACTTTAGAATGTATTAAGCTATTGAAACAGAGGATAGAAGGCGCTGTCCTTACGTTATCATATTTTTTCATAAGTAATATTAGTTTCTTTCTTACTAAATACTTAATTTGGAGCAAAACAAAAAGTATTATATGTTACTTGTAAATAATTAGGGGCGTGCACACCATAGATGCAAATAAGCACTGCATACTATACCCATATAACAATTAAACCTATATTGTTTAATTCTTACTTACGTATTTTGGTCATCATCATCAGCCTATCAGAGCCCACTGCTGAGCCTCTTCTCACATGGAGAAGATTAGAGCATTAATCACCACGCTTGCTGAAGACGAGTTGGCGATTTCAAACTTATATTTAGAAATTATAAGTCCAGGTTTCCTCACGATGTTTTTCTTCACCGCGTATGTATATAGAAAACAAAAAACTATCGTTGTTAAGTTTCCAAGAAAACTCAGTTTTCGTAAAGGAGTTAGTGTTAATGTCGCCAATGTTTTAATACTTGGTACATTTATACTTATTAAATATAGGAAGTTAAGTTATAATTATTTTATTTTAAGATTTGGTTAGGTAGAGAGCTGGCGTCTCCTTGCAACGCGATGGACCCGGTATGGTGAATCCATGGAAATCTGAGAGGTTTCTTCGACACTTTGAAAGTTAACAGTATTTTTTATTAATAATTACATTTAATAAATTAAATAATACCTATTGATGTACATGATATATAATTTTGATAGTTCTATAGTAGAATTTTATTAAGCAGAATATATTTTTTTCATTATCTTTAATTTAGACACTTTCTAGAGCCTCATTTGAAAACCTAAAGATTAAAATTTGAACTAAGACTTATATTATTATAAAAATGTCTAATTAAATGTAAGCACTATATAAATAAATAAAATTATACCGTTTGTAATTTTAAACTTTACACTGACGATACTTACATCACAAATACTTGTCTATCTGTTTGTTCTGCCTAATCTTTAGAACTAGGTCTGTAGAAATTGAATCAAGTCTCATAAATACGATAACGAGTACCGCAAAGGGGATTTTATATGCAAGTAACACCGCAGGCTACAGGTAGTATGAAAATAAATCTCGACAAGTACTAAACATACCAACAAACAAAGAAATATATCATATATATTTATCTTTTTAGTTATACTTTATATAAAGAGAGAAATTACTTTAAATAACAAAGATACGTAAATCTTATCTTACTTTAGCTGGCTAAAATTGAGCTTAAGTACAAGTTTTCATCTTCTACCACCAAACCGATAGTTTTGAAGTATCTCATACGTATCCCATACAAGAATAGCGGTAAAGAAAGTGTTTATTTCTATTAAATAATGAAAATTACCTTAAAATCTTTTAGGAGTACGCAATTAAATAAATATTATTAAAAATAGTATTCGTGATAAAAAGTTATTAGATAACCACGTGCTCAAAAATAATTAAATTTGTTTGATAATACTTTATAAGTATAAAATAATGAATTAATTCAATAGTATAGCTTGGTATTGCTATCAAAAAACTATTTTTTATAATCATATCTTAGTCTTCTCGATCTTCAAGGAGCAGAATACATCAAACATCGCAATAAGCAGATGCTTAGAGAAATTCAGTAAGTTGAATCAATCTTTGAACAAAGAACAAAAAGTCCGGTAAAGGTGTACCAATACAAGTGACGCGTGCTTAAACATCTGCCAACACATCTGCCGCTCGGAATATACCGATCACATTCATTATAAAAGAATTATTTAACCTTGGAAACATATGTTATATATATATCTTCCTGGCAATGCCCAGTTTTAGCCAGGGTCTGCCTTACATAATAGTTTTACCTGCCTGACATCAACCCTCTTTGGGAATTAATCAGTGATGTCTAAACACTTAGAAAGTACATATGACTCGGAAATATCACATTGGTAATTCCCAGGATCGAACCCGCGCCCTCGTGCATGAGAGACGGGCCCTTTAACCACTAGGCCATCACTGACTCTATATATATATATATATATATATATATATATATATATATATATATATACATATATATATATATTATGATCTGTGAGGTCTAAACATCCTCTCACCTACGCATCTGATAACATTTAGCTAAGTCAGAAGTTCATTATCAAATATTACATTACATAAACTGTTAATACTGCTTTAATATTATACTAGCTTTCCGCCCGCAGCTTCGCACGCGTGGAGTTCGGTTATATCGCGTTTAAAAGAGAACCTTTTAAGTCTGTGATAAAAACTATCCTATGTTCTTTCTCAAGGTCAACTCTATCTCTGTACCGAATTTAATTAAAATCAGTTCAGTGGTTTAAGCGTGAAAGCGTAACAGACAGACAGACAGAGTTACTTTCGTATTTATAATATTAGTAGGGATACACAGCTTTTTTTTTATGTATCACTTAGTATTCAGAGATAAAGAATTAGTTTTTGTTACACGAAAATATTCACTTAAAAAACTACATAATATAGAATTTACTTATGTATAAAAATTATATTCCCGAAATTCGAAGACTATGAATTATAGAAAGCATTTTCGATAATTTTTGTTCATTATAATTTTAATTACTTATATAAGTACCTAAGTTATAATAAAAACATTTGTCAACTATGTCTTTGTTTTTTTTATGTACGAGGAATATAAATTACTTATATATTATATAAAAAACGTCGACATTGGCAAAACATTCCACAAATATTCCAGTGCGAATGAAGCCATAGCATAGAAAAATATATATCTGTATTAACTTAAAAGTAACCACTAATATTAATCGCAGAATTATTTTACGTAATCTTAATAATAACATAATTTCTATAAGAATGCAAATAAAATGTCTATGAAGCTATAAAACTACAAAATATTAATTAAAAAGATAATTATAACCGAAATTCCGATCCACGAATCAAAGCGTCCCCATAATAAAACTATTCGCCCTATATATGTTGTACTTCAAATTCCTAATATCGTTTGTCAAAGGAAATATCAAACCACACATAATAAGTATGACAAAGAGGTATTGTTTTACAAATTAACTTTAAAATAAACAAATCTAAAGTTGAATACTTCAAATATAACATTTATAATGTTTAAACAATTTACTTACGATATTGCGTGTTCCATTTCTATTGTCAGCGAAGGGGCACATATTTTTATAAACATTTGGAGAATTAACTTACACTGAATACTATTAATATATTAAAATTATATAAAATAACTCAGTAGAACTCATTAATTTAATAACACTTAGCCTAGATTTTGTTCAAATTACTTGATAAAAATAACTTTCTTTCCCGCCCATTTAAGTGTCATAGATTGTTATTTCACGGACTTTACCTTATCTTATTATGCCACGGACTTAAAGACGCTTCTTTGCACCTATAGTAACTGTTTTATTCTTTTAAAATACTAATTTAATATTGATATTATGTAATTATTAATACGTAAGGATGTCAAAAGTTCCATATTATATTATAATTTCAAATATTTTTGAAACTTTAATCGGATAATTTAAAAATATCCACATATATTATGTATTTTTATAAAAAGTGGAATATTTCATCTATTACATGATACGACAAGCTCGATAAAAGTTGATCTGAAATCATAACAGTGAATTAAATTGGTTTTTATTATAATAATATAATAAAATGAAATATTTGCTTTTAATACCCAGTTATACAAAGTTTTATACATTGAATAATTTTGTTTCATCAAAATTTTTAACAACTGAGACGAAATGAATACCCCATGTTATTTTTTTATCTGTATATGTGCATGGCTGTAATGTATTATAATGTTCCCTTCTAACCGGAAATGAGGTTAATCGATTTAGACCAATTACATGTACATTCGTCTAAAAACGTTAAATATAAAAAAGTTTCTTTTAATAATAATATTAATTTCGATACAATTTTTGAGAAACTTTGAAAATAAACAAAATTTTGGTCGTCAGCTTAAAAAAATAATTATTATTAAACCGCCTATATTAGATTATGTAACAAGATATATTAATTGAAATCTAATGGCACAATGTTTAAAGCTCTCTATATAGACATTCTTCTAGTAAAACTTAAATATCTAATAATGCAACAAAGTTATAATGAGTGAGCGTAATTTTTTTCAATGTTTCGACTTATCACATTTAACTACTCTATATCATAAACGGATATGTAAGCGATATTTGAGTGTCAGCTATTAACCTACTTAGTTATTAACACAATAAGTGTATAATTATAACTTAACCTTATGTTACTAGTTCACCTTTAAGCTTAGAGGTTAAAACTTTGAGAAACATAGATGTATTACGCGCCAAAACTGTATCCATAGATACAATATAGGACAATTTATTGTCAAAATGCTACTTTTTAAATCGTACGTAATACAAAAAGTTTGGTTGTTTTGAGAATGTAAAAAAAAATATTGTACCAATTAGTATGCCGTGGTATTTTTCTATTAACAATATCTAAATATTTATCTCTATACATATATTTATTAGTTGAAAAGTTGTGTGCAAAAATTTCATTGGAATGACCACTTTATGCTTTCTAAGAACCGATGCTTGAACAAGGCCGAGTTTTAAAGATAATGAAGCATTTGATTCTATACCTTATATCACATTGTGAGAGATCTCATAATCGTTTGGTGATAACTAACAGAATTTGCAAAACCAATGGTTCCTTCCTTTTGTTCTAGATTGAACGAAATCCGCCCGCCGTTTTGCAAAAACCAAATCCCGTCTATTGTAATAATATTTTTCTATAGTTCATTCAAACAGGTATGTTTACCTGAATGGAATGAAATAAATAAAATATTTAAAACTAAGTACAATTGATAGTTGCTGGCGTGGGTCTATTTTAGGATTTTGCTAAATATTTTAATATTGTAAGGCTATTGTCTTTAGCCCTCGGTAATCCGAGCCGCAGTCTGCGTCCGCTTGATGTGGGTCTAAACTAAAGCCCGTTCCTGGAAAATAGTTAAAATATAATAAAGAAATACTTTAAAAATGTTTTGGATATTAAAAAGCCAATCAACCTCCTTGGTTTAGTTGGAACTTATTTGTACGTTAAATAAATAAACAGTCCTTGTAAAACCTTGATCGAATTTTTAAAAAAAATATATATCTGGAATAAAAAAAAATACACTCATTATTAGAGTAATGTAAATAGTTTTAGCATGAGGGTATTTTAATTTTTCAGGTAGTTTTTTATTTGTCGTTAGCTTTAATATAAATGTATGGAAATGTGATCATTCTATTGAAATTATTCCTTACTAAGATGTTTTCCTACAATACGACTGTGGGAAAATTATTAAATAATCATAAATACATCGTTTTAAAATACTTTAAAATTTATTCATTCCGTATCCATAACATTGTGTAATAAAACGTTATAGAGCAACCAAGTTCAGAGGTTGATGAAGACTATTTGATTGTTATTATTTATGTGCAATCCTGTTTAAAAACGAATTTGGTATAAATTAAATATTATATCTGTTTTATATTTTTCTAAAATTCAGTATTTTTTTTTTAATAGTTTTAAAATATAAAGTTGAAAAACAGAAAGAATGGTATATTTTCAAAAGCGTCGGCATCGTGGTATTTTTTTTAATAAGTTGCATGACGTACTGCTTCTGTCGATAGTATACTCTGTGTTCATGCAGGTAGGAACTCAGGATGAGGCAAGCGATCCAGTGTTGCCTGACCGCATTTAAAAGTTACCATAAGGTCACAAAAAATTAAAAACGAGTCCAAAAATTTTTCATTCTACATGTATAACGACTTTGATATAATATCGTACCGATGATCATTCATTGAGATCAAACTTGCATCATATGGACGAAAAGCTCCATACGTCACGAGACACGTCGAAACATGTCAAGGATCACAACTTTTACGACGCCATACATTTCCCACGTATCGAGGAGGATTTGAGAGAACAACTCGGCCGGGATGTTTAGGAACCACTTCCCAGAACGATAAAGGGCCGGGGGGTGAGAGGGGCGAGGGGTGCCGGGGCCGCGGGAGGGGGGAACGACAGCTGCGCGCGCGTCGCTCTCCCCGCGCCGCCGCACTCCGGCGCCGACCGTCGTGCGCTGTAGACGTGTCCCGTGCGCTGAGAAGCCGCAATGTGCGGTACGCGAGTTCACTAACATAAGTTCACAATAAGAAGTCACTGGGTGCGGCGCTTTGTCCAAGAGGCCCGGGTGGCTGGGCGGTGACTGGCGCTATATTCGGTTCGGAGCGATATTGCACCAGTCCCGGCCTATCCAAACGGGCCCGGCCTTCGGAGACCGCTACATTCAGCATCCGAGGCGCGCGGGTCCCGTTACACGGCCGGTCGTTCACTGCGTTGGCCACGCATAGGACGTGATTAGGTGTAAACGGTTGTGCCTTTTATCACATTGCACCAATCCCGGCCTGCATGCGGCCATTGCTGGTGTTGTGGATGTTGTGTCGGCTTGCACGTGGCAATGAATAACGCTCAGGTAATATGTTAAACGTCTCATAAAACCCATCAGGATGTGACATCCCCGAAGACAGTATTAGATTTAGAAAGTCGAGTCCGGTGATTCATTGGTGATCTCGTACGGGGTGACTGAATCGATGGAAACAGGACCGGTTCTCATAAACTTATCGTACGTATAACTACACATCGCCTCCGCCGAAACGAAGGACAGCGGCCCATTAAGCCTCCGCTCTATAAATTATCATATCGAGCTTAAACAGCTGATGTCTTTGTAATCACGACGACCGCCGTCTCCCTAACGTAATCCAGTCACGCACATATTGTTTTCAAATAGTACGAACTCACAAAGACGTCTCAGCGGAAGATGATTCATCGTCCAAGAAAAGTAACGGTTATGATTTAAATTACAACAGCTGTATGCACGAATTGCGGTACCTACATACCTACCTTGCGATCGTGGCGCCAAAACGGTAAAAACTCGTTATGCCCCAACCAAAATGCGTCCCGTACAGATATTTAATCACAGATGTAAGGATTACTATAACTAAAATGTGTTACCGTTCGTCATCTACGTCATTTGAATGAAAAATCACTTAATTCTAGGCTAAAGAGATATTTTTATTTGCTTAATGTTATTAACTTAATATATTCAATAAGTATTTTATTAAATGGAACATTAAAAACTTTTTATCTATACAAAACACGTAGATTATAAACCAAATACCAAACTTGCAATATTTGACAGACGTGATTTATTGTGTGAGATAATTAATTTTTTGTGCAAATGTTTTTCGAAAAATAAATTTTTCGTTCATCTTACATTTCTGCAAGAACTTAAAGGCGAGTTTATTTTTTAACAAAGGCGGCCATTTCAAGGCGGTTCAGTGTAAATATAAGCCTATCGATATCTATTGTTGATCTAAGATAGTTCTGTATACTCGCACGAGTTGACACCCTTTAATACTAGATTTGCATCCAATGCTGGAATTACTTTAACTTTCCCGCCAAACAATTGTTCGTATTGACAAGATCATTGCACTCATCAAATTAATTTCTGTTTTAAAACCATTTTAAATGTGTATTGATAAAAGTATCGATAATTTTATTATTTTTTCTAGTTTTTGTATATTATTAAGACCGTAAATATTTTTTTAGCGAAATTATAGACGGGATGTTTTCAAATCATAATTTGCATTTGAAATAGGTACATAATTAAGTTTTTGAGTAGGTAGGTATACATTTTAAGTTTACGGAGTCTTTTTTAACCATTGCATTCTGAACTCTTGTTAACGAATGTAGGTTGTATAATTATTTCAAATGTACCCCCGACTTAACATGAATACTTTCTTAAATACATGAAAGAAATCCCGCGTCTTATAAAATGTTCTGGAAAAAAATATGTATAGAAATAAATTCGTCGAAATTAAACCTGAATATTCATATAAATATAATATCCGATTTTTTTTTCGTTTTTACGTAAACAATAAAATTAAATCATTACATCGGAAGCTATTGACACGCGTATATTCTAAAACTGCTGCTATCGTATATACAATCAGATTAATATTGTAATTATCATTTTAATTTGCATAATAAGTGGACGGAACATTTTAATTCTTGTTCTATAAGAAGATTCCCTTTCAAAATGAGTTAAAAAGCGAAAAATTGTTGGTCGACTGCTTCCGTGTCAAGGCCCGCGTTACACACATCCTGACACACCTTCAAATGTCACATTATTTAAATTAATTTGTGTTAGAACTTATTATTTTGATCTCATATAAGTAATTAATAGAATTTACTTTGTTTTAAAGCATTTAGTCTCTGTTTTACAAATATAATTTTGATGATGAAATGTTTTTAATTATTGCTTGTTTTTAATTTATTTGTATCTAAATATTTTATAAGTGTTATGTTTGTAATTGTTTTATGTGAGTTTTGAAAAATTGTTGTTGTTAAAGTGATCTAAATATGCTTAAATTTGATTTTGACAACCTAAATCATTTTGAATATAAATAAAATTATACATATATTGAAATGAAGAAGATATGGAGAGTGTATATATGTATATACGATATAATTGAAGTATTTGTCATTCCACTCAGTTAAATGTATCGGTAAAACCCCTTACTGTGTACTAATGAAAATTATTACTGATTGTGGGACTTTTTCATAATTTTCCTGATTATCATTTGCTAGATTTTCATCAATTAAGGTCGAATTAACAAATATTTATAATATTTTATGATTCTGAATATTATTATGTATAAATATTATTTTAAAATGTCTATATTTTATGAATGAAAAGTTTGAATTAATAGAAATCAAAGAACAATTGTCATTTCTTGAATCTAAATATTTTTCTGTAGTATCTAATTGTAGATCTCAATGCAATAAGCATTAAAGTCTTTGTTAATAGTCCAATAATTGTTTAGTCCGAGTTGTAATAGTTAGTTCAGTGAGTTACCGATGACCCTTAGTATGTTTTACCCTCGGTTAATATATAAGTTTGTACATACAAATCTGTAACTTTAAACTGTTAGTCACATAGTATTCTGTCGTTTACTTATGTGACTTACGATGTAATTGACGGTATTCGACTATAAAATTAAATCTATTACATTATGTTTTTATAATTACATTATCTTACTTAGCTTGGTGACTATGTAATAATTTCTTAATTATTATGAATGTATTTCGATATAAATATTTCTTTTATTGATTACGTAATTTTGTGTTAATATTGTTACTTACATTATTTTCTTTAATGTTTGCCGTTGTTATAGAGTAGTTATTTTAAAATAATATTTATATATTCAGTTGTTAAAAAGATCAATTTATTTCACAAAATATTGTGCTTTATGCTTGCTTGAGTTCCAAACGGCGTGTTTTTTTTTTTATATTTTGGCATCCCTTTTGTAATGCAATTGTGGAGTCGTTGCACCAAAACGTGAGCGAGACAGCTATATGTGATGTCACGTGAAGAGAGAGACGGAAACAGGACGCGCATTGCTTGAAGTGTTCGAAACGGAAGAAGAAATTCTTTTTTTTTAATTAATAATAAGCCCAAGCAACTTGCAGAAGTTTACGTTTTTATGAGTCGAATCGAAGGAAACGGCGAGGATGTTAAATTGTAAAAGAGAAACTTTGTAATATTAAAAGTCAAGCTATGTACTACTACAATTATAATCTCTGTATGCTTGCGTTAACGGCACGTGAAAGTATTTTCCCACAGTTCGCGTGCATCACTTTTCATTTTAACAGCGTGTTGATGCATTTTTTACATTTTCTATTTGGACTTCATGCTTCGAGGTTTTAGTTATTGATAAGACTTGTTTGTCATTTGTGTTGCAATGTTGGTAGAACTTGTTAAACTTAACATTATTTGGAGTGACATAAAAACTTTAGAAATAATGCGTCGAATGCAAATGAAGGTAACGGATTTATGGTCATTTATTTTAATTAAGATGACACGCGTGCATTTTGGCAAATTATTCATGAAATGTCAATGATTTATTCATTATAAGGTATACTTGTTCTGTTTTGATTCAAATATGGTTTTACTACATAGGCAGCGTCGTTTGAATAATAATTATATTGATGAAGCTAATACCACGGCTGCTGTAAAGTAACCGAAACGTCGGGAGTATGTAGTTTTTATCAAAAATAAAGTCATGTAGTATATACGCAAAATATTAGTTTAATTTAAATGACTCGCGAAAATCTCTAATCTCATTAATTATTATATTCAATAGTACCGAATTTAATATTTTAAAAGCTATTAATGTTTTCGATGTACAATAATAGTGTTATGTTTAATGAAATCGAACGTTTTCCTAGTGTATCAATAGACAATACATTGTTCTATATATAGGTCGGTGAGATGTTAATTTTTATTGTTTTATATTATGTGAGTGAATTAATTATTTTTCAATTACATTATAATTTGTGATGTCATTGTGAGTTCGTCGCCTTGTTTTAAGTAAAGTAACAAACTATGGCAGCCATTTTGTTGATGTTTTTTTGTTATTTTTGTTATATTAAAATGGTTTAAGGAGTTAAAATTGAATTCTCTATACTTATGTTAATATATTGTCGGCGATGTAACAATATTTTATTTATCTTGAAACAAGTCTTTAAATCTGTATACTGGTAGTTTGTTTTATTTATATTAAAAATGTTTTAGTTATTTTTTGTTTTTTATTTGAAATACATACAAAGTATAAGTGAGTATTATATTGACGTATTGCAATAGATGTGTTTTTGGAAATAGAAACTTTATAATTCGCGAACTCGAAGAACAAAATCAAATATCGAGAAAAGAACTAAAAATTGATACCTATTGAACGAAAACGAAATTATTTTTGTTTTATATAACACTAGCAATTTTTAAATATAATAAAATAAATGAATTTTTATATGAGATTATACAAAATATTCTTAATTTCATTATTTTCAGTTGTTTTGAAATACAAAATATTAATTACTATAAAAAAATCAATATATTTTCAATATCAATTCGGACTAGCATTTGATGACATATTATAATCTACCATAATGCAAGTTTTTTAGGCCTTTTAGTTACATATATTCGTAACATACTTAAAGCAACCTTTGTTTGAAACTTGTTTCTATTAACGGTTAAAGAAAATTTATTAGCAGTTTATCGAGACCGCTTATTCCTTTACACTAAGCGGACGATTCTGAGAATTGATCATATTTTTATTAAGATAATTATTAGTACATATATGGGTTCAACGTGCATGTATACAATTATAACGGTTAGGATGTAGTCTAGACTACGGTCAGTCTAGACTAGACTGAATGAGGTTAGGTTGTGCGAGTGGCGCGGTTCACCCAAGGTTGAACTTTGTATCTATA